AAATTATATTAAAATGTCACCAAAAAACAGCAAAAGCTTTTGAATCAACATTTAAAGGGGAAATTTAAATGACAATATTAAGTGATCAATTCTTCATTTTTCCCTCTGAACCACTCACTGTTGTCAGCACAACTGGGGTCATAGTTCAACAATCTGACCTCCAGGTGCACCCCTGCTCCCTCCCTGGTGTGAGCCCCACATACACAGCAATGACGAGGCGCATGCAAAAGCTGTTTTTCCTAGATAATTTTAACAAGGCTTTGGTGATGAAGTCTTTATTCTACTTGTGAAAAAATATAAAAAAGGCGATTTTACAGATTTTTTTCGCCCCACCAGGTTTAGATGAAAAGCAGCTATACATAAACCTTACAAAAACTGTTCACAACACAGTTTAACTGTAAATTCTAACTCGCCCAAAATAGCACTCTGGTCAGCTCTAAGAAAACACAGCTTCTGGATCAACTTTACCAGCAGTAGCTACCTTAACTTTGTATCTTAAAACACACTTCCGTGTGATTTGAGGGATAGAAAGACATTAACCCCGTAACAACTTGTAACTAATGGCGGCTCGGCCTAGATGGAAAGCCACGATTCAAAGACTGCAATGTTAGTCTCACCAACCATGCAAACACAAGGCCGGGGTCTGTATGTTAGCAGCATGTGGACGACACGTTTACATCTAATGCTATAGTATGGATCGGCTATAATTCACCAACATAAAGAGACGGTTGTAAGACAAGCACTAAAAGCGTGTCATGGTATTTTTTTTTTTTTTACATCCCGTCGGAATGTGTGCCAGAGGAAACCATATGTTAGCTACTTGCGTTTTCTCTCTTTAAGTCAAAATATAGTTACATCGATGGTTTTCTTTCATGACCCGATTCAATGTAGGTGCTTTCAGCAAGGAAGTTAAATGTATAGAAGAAGCGAATTGTGTCAGGAATACTAAACTTGACATGACACTGGTGTCTGGAAATAAGGCTAAGGCAAAAAGTTACGATGAGTTGCGCTGGTTACCTTCTCAATCTGTGCGTCTTGATTCTCGTTTTTCGCCGACTTTTCCTTTTCCCTCTTCGTCTTTTTCACCACAGCAGAAGTGGGACCAGGCACGGGTTCCTTGCCCTTCCCTTTCTCTGTCTTCTTCTTCTTTTTATCCCGCTTGGCAAAGAAATCGTCCAGGCTCTTCTCTGTCGGTACATCCGCCATTTTCAAGTAGCAACGTTAACTACTTAGCTAGCTAACCGAGCAATGACAAATGTAAAAATCCGTTATCGGAGAGTGGGGACAGCTGGTCAGACAGTCAGAAAATAAGTAGTTACCCCTTATAGTAACAGCTTACCGTCTGTTACAGGCTGATAAAATGTCCACCTCAGTACCCTGACAGTTAGCTCTCCCGTTAACCATGCCATGCACGGACCATTTCATAACCCTCTACCGTTACCCGGAAACACTTCCACACCAAACCGGATATACTTTGAGCCTTATAAAATAAAGTCACAATATTAATAACTGATAAAATACGTACATCAGTTATATTTATTTTTCTGGTAGAAACTGCCATTGTGGTGAGAAAAGTGTATGACCCACAGCTGGATGTTTTGTTTTACTTTTCATTATATATTTCAATTTGTGCAGGACTAAATGGCTCCAACAGCTACATGGGTATATTCCAGGATTTTGTCTTCAAATGTGACAGTGCTTTCAACAAGAAAAATATTAAAAACTTAGCGCTAAATAAGATTTTAAAAGGAACACAACCGTTTAAAAAATAAAATACATACGAGCGGATGCTTTTGTGCACTTCTTTAATAGAGTGCCAATAAGGAACACTAAAAAGATAAAACGTAAAATAATATCATTAACACATCTTATATCAACCGATTGCAACCTTTTAAATAGGATAATCTTTAAATTCTCGCAATACTGAAAATGTATTTGGACAAAACTAGCTAAATTGCATTTATTTAGAAAGAATTTTTAAACGAGAATAAACAGCAATTTTCATTATTGTCTCTGGAATAGTTTTGCCAAATATCAAGTATTGAGTATCAAATCTGTAAATAGCACCCACACCTCTTCTCGGCAGTAAATGAGGCTTGTAAACAGATTATTGAACTGATGTCATATTCCCAGAACAGGAGGTCCGTTGACCAGGTGCAGTACTGTTGCACAAAAAGAAAATTCTGGCTCAGGGCATCAGTGGATGTGCTGTGGTAGACTGCTTTATTATATAACCAATAGGTGTGTGATATCTGCCTCACACACACTGTAGGTTTATTGCCTAACATCACTGTTTTGGACTCAAAATCAAACTGCCATAAACAAAATATGAAAAAACACTGGTTGTTTCAATTAATTTTTTTGTTTGTTTTTTGAATGGATCAGACAAACAGAATAGTCAGTGTTTTTGTTTGTTTTATTGCTCAGCAGTAAAAAGTACAGTATATACTACAATACAAAAAATACATACTGTTAAACACTGCTCCACTGTCCCACTGAACATGTTGTAAAATATACACTTTTTGAGCGTGCAAAACAGCAAGCCCAGCTTTGAGCATCCAATGCAGCAAATATCAACATGTTTAACCGTGTTATCACTGTTTGAATCAGTGTCTTAGGAACAGCATCTCACAATGCAGAAATAGAGGCAGGCAGCATTGATTATTGAATAAAACTGCAGCAATGCAAAGTAAGACAGGTGATAGAAGGACCACAGGTTCAGTTATTCAATAAAATATTCAACTGCCTCTGTATGTGCTCAGTAAATATTCAGCATACATTATTTATCTCAGTATTTTTATTGGTCAAGATTTCTGACAGCCTTGAATACATGGTATGTGGCCCAGCAACATTTCAACAAATACAGTTTGCATCAATGGACAAACACATGAGTTATGAAGGTAAACACTTATAGTAGCAAAGGCTGGTCTAATTTTTCCTACAGCGCTGAGAAAACGCTTTCGCAAACTGGAATATAACCAGTAGCCACTCCACGACACAAATGAGAGACAGACAGAAACACATACAGAGGCACGCACACAAACAAACATACAGTAAAACTGAGCTGAAAGAGACAGTCTTATTTAAGTTAAACTAACAGTGATATTTGGTTAAGGTACTCATTTGTCTACACTTTACTGCACACTCACACAGTATGCTTAAATGCACAAACAAAGCATTCACACACAGACTGATATATAAAGGGCCAACATAATGAATTAAGACATCTATGTGGTCCCTCTTAAGAGAAGCTGGTGATACATGAGGGGGAAAGCCACTTTAACCATCAAAAACATTTAATTGACAGATATACCATCTCTCAAAACTGCTGGATGTACATCTCAAATCACACAAATGGTTTGCTCAAATTAATCAATTTCTGGGCCTGTGTTTATCAAACTGCTGAAAGATCAAAGTTAAAATATTAAATTGTTTTTCTTACTCGCAAACTTCAGAATAAGATCTATTCATCAAATTTCTTAGAACATAAAACGCTCAAACTCAAAAGAGCTCCAGAAGTTTCTTATGGTGATTACAAGTAGCTTAGCTGATGGCAGTACACTATCACAGGTGAACACATGTTTACCTCTAATGTACCTTCTCTACCACCAGCAAATTTTTTCCTGCTCCAGTTTTATTTGGTTTAGGGAGTTTCTTCAGATTTGGCACAAGTGTCCACTTGGACCTAAGGATGAACTGATTAGAGTCTGGTGGTTAAAGTTCCAAGTTCAAGGTCACAGAGACGTCACGCCTGCCTCATTGCTGGGAGTTTAACTGGTTCAACCAGGAATTCTTAGTAGAAAAATGTTAATTTCCCATTTTAATTTATGCTGGAGTATGATCAATGTCTGCTGTCGCTGATTATTTTCACCCCTAAGATGGTTTCTTTAAAGCATACTCGCATGTATTTCTTAGAGTTTTGATGAATACAGGCCCTTATTTCATATATTATATTTTGCCACAAATCTCTGTGCCCACCCCCAAAAAAATATGTAGTTGCTATATTCAAGTTAAACAGGCTATATGTATTTTGGAATTGATTTTAAATAAACAGAGAACAGCTTGTTTCTTTTTCTGAAGCAGATTTCATGTGTCAACATCCACAGTGCACTCACCATCAAGCCAGAATGAAACAAAACCATACATACTCTGAATTATATAAAGACAATAAAAACCTTTTATCACAATTAAGCTTTTTGTAGAAAATGTACATCAGAAAAATATGCAAGTGCATCCTCATAGTAAATAGTGTCTGTTTACATTGCTCTTCTTTCAGGTTGCTCTTTGTGTTTCATATACAGTATAAAGTCAAAGTATCTGAATATTTACCACATGTATAAAATAAACAACAACAAGAAGAGAACCCAGTGCTTTTCTGTCTCTACATGGCAGAAGATTTGTCTCTGTTGATGAAGAGTGTCTCCTGGCAGAAAGGGTTAACTAGGACCACGCTGCTGCCGCTATAGTCTCCATTAGGGGGTAGACAGGTGTCATGCTCCTGCAAATCCACCCGCACGCGCGCACACACACACACACACACACACACACACAGAATAAATTTTTAGCACAGGTGCCTAACTGTTAAACAGTAGCTGTGATTCATGATTCATGCTTCAGGGCTCACCATTAGAGTGCACGCTGCAGTCTATTGTATCTAAGTCACTCTACAGGCAGCGAGAACAGTCAGACAGTTTAATGTGGAAGGGAACAGAATAAAATATGGGTTTGGTGCACCTCAGGGCTTTTAAGGAGATAGTGAACAAAGATATCTGACAAAGCTAGATGAACAGAGATACAGTGGGAGGTGGAGGGGAAGGTGTAAAGGCCTCACAAGTAGAGACAAAAGGAGGGGATGACTCAGGAGACTGGTGGTGAGTCAGCAGTAATGAGGTACTGCTGGATCAGGGAGGTGTGGAAAAAAAAATCATTTGTTTTACAGGAGGAATGAGCATATCTTTTCAGCAGCATCCAGTCAAATCAAACTAACACCATCATTAAGGTTTATAACGGTTCCTCCCAGAGCACTCTCATTTACCTATAGCATCAGAGATATTACAGGATTGCTGTTCTACAGAGACAGGTAAAGCAGGGGTAAACAACACCTGGGTGTCACCAGGGGCATCCTACACACGATCCAACCTCAGGTTCCCTCTCCTGATGCCCCCCAAAGGCAGCAAAAGAATGCAAATTGTGCAGTGGACAGAAGATGATAAAAACATGCTAATTAAAATAAAATGGGAAAGAAGAGGAGGCAGACTGCAGATACAATCCTCACTAAGGTCCATATCACTGTTATATACTACCATTTCCAACAGATGGTGCTGTAATGCACCAAAAAGCTCTGGCACTGCACATGCTGCTGCCCAGCTAGAATTGATCATCTTATGGAAACCAAGTGAGTCACATCTGATCTTGCTATTTTTCCTTATCATAATAACATCCAAATATCAAGTGTAAATTGACAGAAATATGAAGAGGATAGACAAAATAATGTGAACAAATTATGGATCTGGCCTACAACAGTGTCACAGCCTCACAGTACTACTGCTTCTTTAAACACTGTATACAGGTGAAACCTCGAGTTAATTAGTCTGCACCTGGTTGAGTAATCATGAATAAAGCAAGCTGGATTTTTAGAACATTTTCAGTCTCGTATAAATATCAATAATAGGCTTTCTAATTTAGCTGCATAAAAGAAGGTACAGCAGATGGATGTACTTCCTGCGCCAGCTCAGGAAGTTCGACCTGCCCCAGGAGCTGCTGATAAAGTTCTACAGAGGAATCATCGAGTCTGTTCTCTGCACCTCCATCACTGTCTGGTTTGGCTCAGTAACCAAACAGGACAAGTACAGACTTCAGCAGACAGTCAGGACTGCAGAAAAGGTCATTGGTGTGATCCAGCCCTCCGTGGAGGACCTGTACACCTCACGGGTCAAAAGGAGGGCGAAGAGGATCACTGCTGATCCCTTACACCCTGGACACAATCTGTTTGAACTCCTCCCCTCTGGACGGCGCTACAGGTCACTGTGCACTAAGACAACCAGGCACAAGGACAGTTTCTTCCCCCAGGCTGTCACTCTGATGAACACTTAACCAACGACAGTATAACTGGACAATAACCCTCAGTGCAATACCTGTAAATATACCTCGTACAGATTATACAGATCCATACAGGTCTTTATTTTTAAGTACTCTATTTTTATTCCTATTTATCTCATTTCAATGAGCATTCCTTTGTCTGTCTGCATTGTTTTCTGCCTGTCTATACTGCTTATTTTGCATTGTTTGCACTGTTTGTTGTTGTTAATAGTGCTTCATTTGTTATATTACACAGCCTTATGTTGGTTTACTGTTTACTTGCCCCTTGCATGGGGATATGTACATACACATTGAGAACTGATGTACCAGAGTCAAATTCCTTGTGTCTGACACACCTGGCCAATAAAGCAGATTCTGATTCCGATTCTAAAAAGGCACCAATGTCATTCGTGTACAAGATGCAATCAGCTTTACCACAGGTCAGTATCAAGAAATATGAAATAAAACTGCATATAAAGATATATTTAGGTTCAGGTATGCACCACAAACATCAGGTGTGCAGCTGTTAAAGCAGTGGGTATCTGAGCCCAGCAACATAAACACTGTGTACTAATAGAAAAAAAGTTGGATTATACTCTTCATTTAAACCAGTAGGATGCACTGTGTGCGATCCTAATTTACATTTATTCAATAATACTGTCGAGATGCACCAATTCATCCGGAGTGTGGTGGAAATGTTTACAGAGTTGTACATTATTTTGTATGTAAAACACTCTCTGGTGTGTAATTAATGATGAATAAAAAGTTACAAACAATGATCATCACACCATACAGTTAAAGTTCTATTATTATCTTATCCCTATGCATTTAGTTGGTAAAGGGTCGTATTTTGTTTTTCTTAAGAAGCTACATCAACTGGAGCAAATTTAGCACAGCTAGAATTTCAAAGGTCTAAATTCTTCAAGTGTGCATTCATATTAATGGTATACTGCTTTTGCGAGTTACTCTGAAAAATATGTAGGAACCACTGTAACAGACTCCTTGCAGGGAAATTCTCCAGTTTGTCGTCGTGAATAGCATCCCTGTAAATCGCAGTAAACCCGTGACGTGTTCACTTTAGGAGACCTCGAGGCTTGCTGACAGTAGAAATTTGACATGGATCATCTTATTGCTTTCATACTCATTAAACCTATTCTGCTGATGGTGAAACATCAAGTAAATGTCCCCCCACTTGAGTGTGCAGTGTTGTACACTAAGTAGCTTGTACCTCACTCTCCAGAGTGTGTATTTCTCTGGGCAGCTCCACAGCGTGTCGGCTGAAGTAGTCCATGGTGATGGCGTTGTTCCAGTAGCTGAGGTTGTTCTCCTGACTTGACAACTTCTTCTTCCTCCTCATACAGCACACAGTCAGTAGCACAGCTACAGCAGGCGGGGGTGGGAAAGGAAAATGACTGTTAGTACAGGAGACAGAAGAGATGCTGCTTCAAAATAGCTTTTGAAAGCACCCACACTAGCTGCTCAGGTAGAGGCTGTCATGCTCCAGGACAACATACCAGTGGTAGAACAAACTGTGGTTTAGAGAAACACCATCACCATAAAAGTGTTAGAAATGGGTACCTTGTAGTAATTTTGAGCTTTCTCAGAACCAATCATCAAAAACACATTTTAAAGAATTATATAAAAAAAAAAACATTATCAAAGTAGAAGAAACATGTATTTCTCCATGTCTAACAGACCATAATGCAAATGATTGTTTTGCCTAAAATGAAACTCCTACTGTTTGATGAAAAAAAATACTATACTGTTATTATGCTATTGCTTTCTACAATTTAATACAACAATGTCATGCTCTAAAATGTGTCTGGGGGCGATTCAAAGGCATCCCAGGGCATGTAGATCACTAAAGCAAATGTGAAAGTGCAGTAGGGTTGAGGGAAGGTACTGTATTGAGATATGTGATACACAGTGGCAAGAATAAATAGTCAAACTATTTGGAATGACCTGCACTTACGCAAGTATCATTCTATCTTATAATATGGTCAGATCTGGGCTATGTTTTGGACTATTTCTTACAGTCATTTCCTGGAATTTATCTTGAAACTGAACAGAGTTGTTTCCCTGTGTTCCAGTCTTCATGCTAAGCTTAGCTGACCTCCTGCATATTCCAGCTTTTAAATATAGCACAGAACCTTCTCATCTAAACCCCAGCAACAGAGCAAATATGCTAGTTCCTTAGAATGCCAAACTCTTCTTTTAAATAGGAACATTTTTATGATAGGAATATTACAAGATTTAAGATCAACCAAAACCTTCATTTTGCATTTTTACATTTATGAGTTGAATCTTTTTCAAGCTACTCTGACATTACTTACAACAGGAGGACACGGGCACACTGATGGCCAGCACGATCCACACAATATCCATCCTGCTTAAACAGATGTGGGACACTGGGGAGTCGACAGTGGGGTCAGAGCTATTGCTGGATGTCCAGATGTCCTGGGTGGTGGCAGGCACCTGCCGGTTTAGGAAGTTCCCGCTGGCTGTGGAAGGAGCCTCTGAGCTGTTGTCCTGAGCAAGTGACTCCCTGACTGAGCTGCTGCTAGAGAGCAGCTCTTCATATGCAGTTACATTTCCCGGCCAGGTTCTCAGAGGGGGGCTGTCTGTGCTGTTACCTTGCACAGCATGACCGTGACCCCCATCAGTGGTGGTCTCACTGGCTGGAGTGTGGTTGTTTGGCATGACTGTAGGATTCTGCATCCTAAGGGTCGGCTCAGTGGACAGGACTGCAGCAGACACAGTGGAAATTAGATTCTGTGATGGGCTTTTGCCTGTTTTTGGCTCTATCACCAGCACGTCAGTGGGGCGCTCGCTCACTCCATGCACATCCCTCAGGGTAATGGTGTGGCGTGCGGCCACCTTTGGAGCAGCTTGAGCACGCTCCCTGAGTTTCAAGCCAAGTGAAAGGTCACCATCTATTGATGAAAATGGCTGCAGATCTGGAACATGCTGCTTGGGATCAGTGGATCCCTCCACATTTAAATTCTGAGACTCTGCATTGTTTGCAGCGAGTGTATCACTTCTGCCTGATCCAGAGCTGGACATAAGAGCCAGGGGGTTTGGGGCCCCTCGAGCAATAGATTCCACATCTATATTTGGGGCCGCTGTGCTGCTGCTAGCCTGGTTAGTGGCAGTAACTGGGTTATGGACTTGAGGTACCCTCACCAATTTGTGTATGTGGCCTCGGTTTACAATATCAGAGCTTGGCTCCAGGAGCTGATTCATCCAGGTTTCAGCACTCACAGTGTTTGGGGTGACAGTGTTCATGTCATGAATGGGAGGGTCTTTTTGAGCCAGGCTTGAGAGTTGGGTTGTATGAGGCCAGGCTGAAGGGAGGAGGGCGACAGTAGGAAGGATAATATCTGAGGGTTTATTGCCTCCTTTGGATGACCATTCTCCACTACTGGAGCCTTCCTGGTGCCAGTTCAGGTATGGAGGTTCAGGGGGGCGTAGGGAGGTGCTGTGGGCATCTGCCATGGAGACAGGGTCCCAGGAGGTCTGGCTAAGGTACAGCTCCTGTGCTGATGACACCAGTCCTACTGGCAGTGCTAGGAATGCTAGAATGCCTGCAGGAAAAGAGAGAGCACACAGCACATGACAATACAGAATATCATTTTAGCTTCATGGCTTACTAGACCATTTCAAAGCTAGATGAGAGTGCAGCTGAAATTGAATGCTGAGGTGTCCAGAAAAGACCTGCAGCCTTGTCTTGCATTCATTCTCCTCCTCAGCCTTTAATATACTGAACCACTGTGTTTGTCACTCCCCTAGTCTCTCTCTGTTGCTTCATTAACTGCATTATTCACTAAGCAAGCTCCACTGTGTGTAACTGTGCATGTATAAGATGGCAGCTGGGACTGCGAGGATGTCTCTCTCTTCACATACAACATTCAAATAAAGCTCTAACAGTTTTCTTACTGTGCTTCAGTGAGTTCACTTTGCACAGAGGTATAAAAAATAAGCAATTACTTAATTTTAATTTGCAAGTAACATGGAAAATCTTTTTAAAATGGGATGAACTAAATGTCCAATGTAATACTGACAATTCTCTGTATTCATAAACAATGTCCCTTATTATCAAGAGCGAGAAAATACATTTTTGAATCAAAATGCAGGTTTTGTCAACTGATTCACAAAAACTGACAAATGCCAGTTTTACAGTGACCAGAGCAGATAGACTGACGACAGCCTTAGTGTCATAATAACCTACTTAGGCTCTGGTTTTACCATGTTGACTGTGCAGCAACAAGCCATTAGTAGGTTTCTGTGGGGAATATGGGTCCTATTATACTATCCAGCCAGGCAAGAAAGTCATAGAGCGAGGAACGTTACCCCTCCTCCTCATCTCTTGTTGACTGTTAAACACGGCTAATGTGACCCATTCAGCTGAAAACATAATGCGCATTAACGCATAGCTAACATCATCTTTATCTGAATGAGGTTATGCACTGGACAGGATGTTGAAGAGAAGAATATTATGTTAAGCTCGAGCTATTTTGATGCAAATAAGTGTTTCATTTGTATTTTGTCTACACCATTACTGGGGTACAGAATTCAGAAAAACGTTTAATTTTTTAAAACTCACACCCCCAGCAACGATCAGTCAGTAATCTCAAATATCCTTCCTCTTTGTTCATTGGAGACACTACAGAAGAAGCTCAAAGCGCTGACCATTTCAATTCAGCCTCTGAATCATTAATCATATTCCTCTGTACTCAGTCACAGAGTGTCCAGGCACTGTTTGTCATTATCTGTTAAGCCTGTCATGCCTCTAATCCACGAAGCCCACTCCAGACCCACATCTGGGGAGATACCACACAAGGCCATCCTTGAATTATCACTGCTTGTTTTTCTGGAGATGATCCTTTAGGAAACAACGAAACATAGACACATCCAACCTATCAAAGCTGAAGTGTTTGGGCTATGTCACTTCAGGACAAATTACCAGGACAAAGCCCTTCGAGATGCCCACAAGACGATCCACTTCACACCATTCCATATTGCTGAAGGTACAAGGATGGAAACACATGGAGAAAGATGAAATCTGAAGACTAAAAAGAAGCATTACTATAACATAAACAAGGTTGAATATTGCTTTTAATGCTAAAAAAAGGTAGGAGATAATGATGCCAATTACGAGAGGATGTTTACCACAATGTGGTCTGGCATGAGTCAGTCAACCCAATACTCCCCTGCTACTGCATAACACCCAGACTCACTTTATAAGTTATATCAGAGAGGGGCAAATGAAACGCTCAAGCACATTCTTCTGATATATCCCTGATCAGATTAGTTAAATAATGTTTTAATAAAGAGCCACAATGTTAAAAAGAAAATCTGCCTTCTAAGTGAGCTTGCACTCAGACATTTGACCGGCCATGTATTCATCACTATTGAATGCGCCGTGAGGATAAGACTGGCCTTTAGATTGTTATTATCGGGCTCTTATGTCTATATATTAATTGCAATCAACTGAAAATATCCTGAGAGCACGGCAACATGTTTTCCACCCCTGTGCTGCGAGCGCATCCTCAGCTGTCTACAGTATATTAATCATTTTATATAGTGTTTGTTATATTGGCGAATTGAGTGCAGGGAGTCACAGGGAATGACTTAACAAGAGAAATGACTGAAAAAGCCAGAGAAGAGAACAGAGCCTTATAAACATCCATTACTGAGCTGGGAAGAACATGAGAGAATTGGATGGAAAAGGGACAGAACAGGGAGGTCAGACAGGGTGGGAAAATGTGATGAGAGGCCATAGATGTGCAGAGTAAGAGCGGGAAATGTGTGGGTGCTTCATCAGCGATAAGACAAAAGCAAACAGGTTGAATTAGATACATGCAAAAAGACTCTCAAAGGAAAATAAGACATGAGAGATATGGGAATACAGGAGGCACTTATTGAAACATTTGCCTTGCTCAGCAACACGTGTCTGCTTAGCATGAGTTTCTCCAGCACTGCGCCTGTTGGCTGTTTTTGCCCCGACACACTGCACAAAAAGAGTCAGACCATTTTCAGCTGTGATGACACAAGAAGTGAGAAGATAAACAACAAGAATTCTCGGAGTCTTTACTTACAATAGGACAAAACCCACCAAAACTAGTGTAATTAGACTTTAACTGTGACATTGAAGGTATTTCAACTTGTCCTTTGACTGCTTTGTTGGAGTGCTGGATGACACACAGGTGATACTGTGACCACTCACACCAACCTGTTGCTGATCATAGAGATTATGCCTTCATTTATTTGACTAATAGCATCAGCCTGATTTTCCTTAACTAAACTCAGGGTTTATGGAGGGAGGGGCAATTTATGCAGCAAACATGCTGAAATAGGGCTCATTTGAATGTATGGGAAGCCAGTGACATTTGGTGAAGTGATGCCATCGGGAACATCAATAAATCATGTTACGAGGCAGGATCCTGCACACATTTTGTCTCACCAATCATTCACTACTAGACTCTGTATCAGGGGATGGGGGCCAGAGTGGCTGTCACACACCCCGAAGTTACACTTGTGTGATGGAAAACAACATATCATTTACTCCTGCTGATGAAATTCTGCATTATGTTTTTGCCGATCCGCTCATAAGCCAAGACCACATTCCAGAGGACTAGTATTGCTGAGCCCCACTGCATCATGAATCTCCCAGCCTAATCAATCATACTGGAGGACTTAGTGTAGGGTGTGCAGGCTATCGGTGTGTATGCCCCAGCCTGCCTGTGTGATCAATCCTGAGGGGAGGCTACTTGCCACTGAGGTAGGGATATTTATCCTTTTCACCCGTGCTATGTGCGATGAAGACTGATGTGGCTCCAACATGTACAGTGACAACCTGCCAATGGGGCGAGTGCTGGTTGTGCCGCATCATCAGTGGACAGCTGGCTGTGTCACTATTACAAAAGGAGGCTCTACAGGGAGCCAAAAATAGATGCAGCAAAATCATCCATCAGTAAGAGTCGCGATGGTTCATCAGGCTGTTCTTATGAACCGTTACTGCCCTGTCATCTCCCAGGTCAGGCAGCATGATGAAGAATACAAGAACAATAGTGAACAAAATGAGAATCTGTCCAAGGTCATTTGAATAAATAAAGGCAATACAATGATAAAACCTGTATTAAAGATTAATACCTGATAAATTGGCATAAAGATATCCTGTAGGATATGTTTACCAACAGTAATGTCCTTGATTTATTAATGCTCTGCGGGCTTATAAAATATCTAATAATGTTTTCAGGGACCACAGATGAAAAAATAGCCCTTTAATTTAATAAATTAATTACAGTTGTTTATCAGTGTACACTGTGGTTGTCAAATAAACATATTTGTTATATACTCAAAGTTAAAAACCAAACAAATAGATACCAAAGAAATGTCAATAATTAAATTAAGTTGTTGTAAAGGTTAATGTCTGTGGACAGGTCATGGTATTCAGTTGTGACAGAAATCTGACAACACCTGAGACTCCTAAATATACTGAACACTCCATGTTTGTAGCTGCACGTATGTGGGACCACATGCATGCAAATTATTTGCACATTTACAGTTTTATAAATGATCACAAGGTGTCACTGTAACTGCCTTGTTAGAACATATGAAACACTTTACCAAGGGCCAGCTGTATAGCAAGTTTCACTTCTGTTCCTTTTGACATTTTCATGATTACATGCACTGTCCACAGACTCTTACCTAAAATTAGACAAGCAGGCAGTCAAATAAAAAAAATAATACAGATGAAAAACATTCATCTATATATAAGAGAGCAAGGATGAAAATAGCATGTCAATAAATAACCACGTCAAAATGCCTTTGAGCAAGACACAGACCCTCTGCCTGTGTTCTCATTCTAGGTTGCTCTAAATGAATCATTAACCTGAGATGTAAATATGCAAGATCTAAAAGAAATGTCAGTGTCCACTTCATTGTCTAATGGGATAAACTTGGTGCTACTTTGGATACCCTAGGACACAGAACCATAACCAGTAATTAAGGATGCCCTCCCCAGCATCCGGCTGCCTCTCTGTGGATCACATTTAGCCTCGTTTATGATAATCACAACCGCTACACAGCAGGAGTCAAACCTCCATGGGATTCCCCAAAAATCCCTCTGGACAAACGAAGAAGGCTTTATCTACTGTGCTCATCAGAATACCAATGAGACACACACACCATGGCTCTGTGCCCTTAATACAAAATGAATCCATATCTCACCTTTGAGGATAAAGGCTGACAGACCCAAATCAAAGTAATCATAAACCTTAAATGGCAAGTTTTGTTGAAGGTAGTCCAAGCATTTAATTTTAAGCTTTGATGTGCTGGCAGAGAGAGCCGCAGAACCAGATCAGATCTGTCGGCTTCAGGACTAAACCTTTTATCAGCAGCCTGATAGGAGCTGCCTCACTAACTGCTGGCGAGATCAGTTATAATAATAATAGTAAGGTCTTGACCTTACCTTGTAAAGTGTCCTGGGATTACTTTTGTTGTGATGTGGCACTATACAAATAAAACTGAATTGAACTGAATTGGACAGAATGCTGTTAGCCCCGAAGGACTTCAGCGGACCCACTGCCCTTCTGTCACCATTACCACTGCCAACAGGTCTACTACAGTACTACTAATACTTGTACCAGTACAGCTGCTACTATTAGTCCAACTACTATAAAACTGCCATTGTACTCTTCAACGTCCAGATGTGAATCATGGGTGGAACCAGAGGGTGGCCAGGGGTGGCACCCCCAGAAACTGATCGGTGACTCCTGCTAGAGTCAAAATGTGATTCTCGTCAATAATAATGAATGAAAAATGAAAGATGACAAATTGTCTTAAATACAATAAAAATTGACATTGGTCAGATTAGCTTTATTTTATATCAAGCATGCAGCAGCGATGTTCCCGATCAGAAGTGAATATGGAGTGCAGCCATAGTTCATTTTTTTTTAAAAAGCACTGTGTGTGTGTGTGTGTGTCTCATACTGTATGGCTTATTATTTCATAGAACTAGGGGTTTAATTTACTTTTTACATGTTTTTCAAATGTGCCACTCCTCTCTCAGTCTGTCCCCAGCCTGGCCACCCCATCCAAAACTTTCTAGATCCGCCCCTGGTGTGCATGTAAAACAGGAGCACTGCTGTAAAACTTCCCTGGATAAATAAATGTTATAAAAAAAACCTTCTACCATAGTGTTACTGCTATTACTTGTCTTACTATTCCTCCACCTCCTCCCATACCATAACGCCTCCTATTGCTCTTCAACATTCATACGCCTTCTTCAAACTCCCTGGAATCTAAACTGACTCATTTTGAAATGTGTGAAATGATGCTTGTTCAAAAATAATTTTGCTTCTGTGAATCAGTTTTGTAGCTGTAAAACACTCTTCTCATATCTATTTCCACACAAACACACAAATGCACCTGCCAAGAGATGAATCATTCGTACGACAACAGGCTAGTAAAGCGGTTATTGTTGACTGACTAAAGAATCAGATACTTAAACTGAGCACTAAGTGAATAGCCTTTTTTGGTTAATTTGACCTTATTCACAGTTGTTTGTTAATGTTACTGTGCTTGTTGAAATGACTAAGAACATAATTTACTTCACTTCTAAGGTCCACGGTCAAGTCATAAGAAAAACAGTTTAGTAGCAAACTGAATCACCTGTACTTCAGAGAAATTAGATAAAATGGCCGATGTAATGGAATGATTTTTTTCTACGCGGTACTGTCTGTGGACAAGACAACACCACATTTTGCTGGGGTCATAATTTTTGTGCTTCTGGAATAAGTTTAATCTCCAAGCAGAAACAGTTAGTTAAATCCTTACAACTGTTCAATTCATCTTTCATGAATGCAACCCTTTCTCATTTACAATTTATCACTCACAGTGTTTACCTGACTAGTCAAGGAAATGTAGAGACATTCGTTCTCATGTTATAACATATGGGTGTATGAAAAGAGCGCCATCTTTAGAGTAGCATAAAACCAGACAAATTCCTTTGGTTTGCTCCTGGGTGTGTTCGTCTGTCACTCCAGCAAAGTGTCTGTCCCGCAGGGGGAAACAGACAGATAAGGCACATCCTGTGGGCTGCTGGGACGAGGGTTGGCTGGGCGGAGTGGTGGAGAGGTAGAGCGGAGCAGGGAGGGCTCTACAGATGTGAGCACTGCGATAAGAAGGAAAGCTTTCTTAACAGGATAATGACTTCCTGTTTGAATGCTCCGCAAATTGTTTGTCAGGTTACAACAGCATTGAACATGTTTATCTGGGAATCAGGCAGAGGGCGAACAACGAGGAGTTCTTGGGCTGTTTACTCAGATAAAGTTTTAGCTATAGCAGCCGACAGTGACCGTATATCTGACAGGAAGGAGAAACATTAAACAGGAAGTTTTTTGGAATTTGGGGAGCAGACTAACTTGCAGGCCTGCAGTTATACAAATCCATTACAGCCACAGACAAAGAATTTTAACATTTTTACAAGCTAAAAAGTTGTCACACTCTTGCAACAACACATTCTAACCATTCAAAACTTAGTCCTTGTGTACTCATTTAAATTTCGTACCAACCAGTGCTCCAATCTTTTAATATTTTTATTATAATCAAGTTTAAGATAATTAGCTAGAAAAAAATTGGTAAGCATTCTCCTTTTATTCAGGTGCATTATGTCATCACAACACCACATACAGTAAGTTAAGAGCAATGACAAGGTTGGAAATCAGAAAATGCAGAAGACAGAGGAGCACAAGCTGCACAGAGGGCAATCAGAAGAAAATGAAGCCTGCTATGATGCAGGAACATCCGTCTTAGTTCTCTTCTTTCTGCAACATCTTGTCTCTTGCCTGCAGGCCTGAGGATGTTCAGACACATCTGTATCCTGCAGATGGCTGGTCCATGGAGAGAAATGATAAATGTCACTGCACAGCACAGAGACAGAGATCTCAGGTCAGCCTCTCAGCTCTGCACACCATAAAAATGCAACGCTGATGGAGGTGAGAAAGCGAACAAGCAAGAGGGAGCATTATGCTATCAAAGTCAGGATTCATGAGGAGCACTAGCCAAAAAAAGAGAGGCTTCAAAATATGGTTTTAGTATCAACTGTATAAAAAGCTAGAGTGCAGCTTAGACTCAGACTTCCCCTTTTTAGATTAAACTATTGCAAAGTGACCTCATTCCACCTCTGCTACAGCTTAAAGCTTAAATCCATCACAGCCACAGATGCGTTACTGAATGGGCTACCAGGCGCAGGTCCAGGGGCCTGGAGGGCCCTTCATTAGAGACCCATGAGGGGACTATTAACCCTTCTGATGGAAAGTCAAACAAGTGATCCCAAAACTACTACAAAAAGCCACAAAACAAAAAAAAATATTGATGCAAAATAACTACATGAGAGCCAATACCACTACAAAAAAAGACACAAAATGACTAAAAAACGAGACAGAAAGGAAAAAAGACCCACAAGACAGGTACAAACATATGCCAAATGACACACACACACACACAAAAAGATGCAAAACAACTAAAAAAAACAAGAATAGGTTCAAAATTAACACAAAATGGGTTAAAAAAAGAAGACAAAGTTACACAGAGATACAAATGGACAAAAACAACCACAAGAAAACAAACTGACTGTGCTGACTTGCTTCTAGATATGTAGGAGAAGTACAGACCTTTTACATGTCTGTGCCCAGGGACTCATTGTCTCATAATGCATCCATACTCACAGCCGTCCAGGCCACGTTTATCACTTCTGAGGGCCTGAGGCAGATTTGTCAGAGACTGCCTTTGGCTCTGCTGCCCTAAGGTGGAGCTTTGGGGTGCATACCAGATATCATCAGCCTGTTTAGTGAACCACTCAGGAGCCCGGTGAGCCGCACTGTGACCCCTACGTTCCATATTCATGCGACATTCTCCACTGGTAGCCTGCCACAGCTTTGTACATCCACTCCCAGAGCCTTGATCCTGTCCTCTGAGTCCTTGAAAGCACCCTCTTATAACAATGGGATACAGCACTGTATGTACAGTTTCTGATGTCTGAAAACAGTGATTCCCTGAAGGCATTCAATAGGGCCTCCGCCAATAATAGAATGATGTTTAATTCATGTGCAGATAGGCCAGCATGAGAAGCAAAATGTGTAGTTAGAAAAAGCATCAAAAAGCGCCCACAACCAACTGTAAAATCCTTGCATGAAATGCCGACACTGAGCAAAATATTTTACATCATATTTTACACAAGAGTTCCATATATTCAGTACCTGCTGTTCATAAATAATAATAATGAACCAAATGCGGTTCTTATTTCTCACAAGTGCAAAGTTTTTTGGTTAATATACCAATGAAAATTTCATGAGGTCTGAGTTCTGTGCTGCTAGATTGCCATTTGTATGATGATAACAAGACTTTAAAACTTTAACAGCAACATCTGATTTTCTTATACAATGCCCACTGGCATGCTAGCACACCCAGTCCCCTGCCCCCCCCCCCCCTTGGGTCCACTTACTCAGCAGCTGGCAGCGCAGGACCTGCAGGCTTGTCTTCATGGTATCATGTGATCGGGCTCGTCCTCCACAGTGCTCATGGTTCTCTATAAGAGGCAGCAAAAGAGAGAGGTATGATGAATTAATGAACGACACATTTCATAATTACATATTTCCTAATAAAAGACCAAGAACACCTGCAGTGGTGGTTGGCCTCAGCTACTAGGCTTCAGATCAGCGTTGGCATCCTGCAGGCTGCTGGTCAGTAAAACCAATTACAGGGCATTAAACATTGACCAGTAAGCCGTGTTCTGAGAGAGCCACTATGTGTGTATCAGTGAGACATGTACCCGACGGTGCTCTTTAGGAGAATGATTTACTTCTGCTAAATAAAAGGCTGCACACACATCTTCTTTTACCCCTGGTGTGTGTATGTGAGTGTTGACTCCCTCTGTTGAAATGCCCTTGGGCAACACACATGCACACTTGTAAAGAAGTACTCGAACATATGCACACACTCACCAAAGCAACCTTCACTCTACCTGCATGAGTAATGCGTTGTGGGTGTCACGTGTGAACTTGGATTTGTGCCCCCCAGAATGAGGCAACCTACGTTTCTGTGGGAGATGCATGAGAGGGACAGACAACAAAAGCAAGTTTTCATTTCTCATAAGTGTAGCCCTGCTCTGGACATAAGACAACACACTACATCCGAGTCATCCTGCTTTTATTCTGCCACTGCGACAACTGTTTAATCATCTAGCTAGCTAGATACAGTATCTATAAAAATGCAAAAAGATAGCAAGAAAACTAAACTGGTCACTAACAGCAAATTAAATAAGATAAATTACAACATTATTAAACAAGCAAGGGAACAGTGGGCAGCCTAAAGGTTAGAGAAGTGAGCTTGTGACTGCAGGGTCACTGGTTCAGTCCTCAGACAGGCAAAGTGACAAAGCACTGCTTGCCCTGCCCTTAGTAACACCACTGTGGTGCCCTCGAGCAAGGCCCTTAATTCCAACTGCTCCAGTGGAGCTTCTCAGTGGCTACAGCCATGGCTGCCATCTATCTATGGCTCTCTCTCCTGACTGACACATTGAAAAAACACTCTTCCACTTTCCATTTACAGAGAAACAAAGTATGACAACAATGGTGGAAAATAAGCAACTACATTGGCTGTCAAGACACACTTGGATGACATATGCGCACAATTTTGTTCTTGTTCTAAGTGTTTAGAAAAAGAAAACTGAGATGCTCACTGCTTAGCTGCACTTAACTCACAGCTCTGACTTTAATGGTGTGGGCTCAGTCGTAATACAGTCCAGGTAATTGCAAAAGAGATGAGGCTGCAAGAATACAGTAGTAGAAGCAGAAAATGAGTTTTTCTCGGCGTCACATCTGAAGAGAGTTACTAGCTACGACTTAAACTCTGTAGTCATGTTCCTGGCCTAATGAGCTCATCGGCACAGTGTAAAGGGAGCAAGAGAGCGATCAAGCCTCTACATGGTGATTACACCCCATGAACACTGCTAGGCTAGTACAGGTTCATAGACGCATTCTTTAATTTAAGGGGTACAAAGGGTGAAGCTAGGGGAAGGAGGGTGAGGGGAGAAACGATGGTGACAGGGACTACTTCATTTATACTTGTTATTAAAGAGCAGAGCAGGGTTTTGTTGAGAAAGGAAGACAAGCTGTATTAACAAAAGACAAAAATTGCTGAGTTCAATTCTGTGCTTATATGCAGGCAATAGATAACACTATGAAATCCCCAGCAGGATGAGGAGTTCACTGGTGACTGCTGGCAGTCTTGTTTCTGCAGTGTAAACACTTGTCCACTACTGCAGAAACCAGTACGCTTCGATGGAAGTGTGCTAGATACAGCACAGTGTGGGTGAACAGGTTTTAACATCAATATCTTATGCCAAATAATTATGGTTTATTACAAAAAAAAGTCAGTCTCCAACTTGCGAGTCCAAACGCAGTCAATATGCGAGTCCGAGTCCAAGTTCGAGTCATCAGTGCTCAAGTCCAAGTTGAGTCACTAGTCCTGATAATCAGGACTTGAGTGCTACAACACTGCTTCCAGGGCTGTATAATTCATGGTCTCACTTCTACCTAAGACAACAACATGATCCCACCAATGCAGCCCCTTATACTGTTTTTAATGCAGTGATGTTTTTGGTCTGAATGCCCAGTAAGATCTGGATGGGAGGGACTTATGTTCAGTCATGAAGGTTCCCACTGGAAAGTGAAAAGAAGGCTGCTCAGTGTGTCCAAGAGGTTCAACAGACATCCAGATCCTCTCCAAGTCAGCAACAGTGTTAGCAGCAGTGACAGGGACTGCAGTATATATGGAACTGGGGATTCCAGACTAAGAGAAGGTGGGAAAAAAAAAAATCTTCCTCTGCCCACAAGAATCAAACAGGAAAGTGCACCAGAGATCAACAGTAGCTCTTGTAACACACATTTTCACAGGTAAAAATGCATTAACAGAGTTTGCACATAGCAGCCTAGGTTTCTACTAGAGAGGAAAAAAGTTGCATGGCAACTGATGTGCCCACAGATGGCAGCTATCACCATAGCAACCCTCATAGTACATTGTTTTCAAATTCATTCATAAGAACATTTTGGGGCTCAAACAAAATTGGGGAAAAAGGAAGATATCTGAAATTACAGAACTAATCCAGTAACAATGCAGCAACAATCCTTGTTTCTGGCTTTGTGTTTGCAGTCCTGCTGACAAGCCCTGGTCATCGAATGTCCCAGACTGCAGCTCTGAATAGTGCGTCAGGAGTGGGCGTAGACTAGAGACCAAACCCAAGGTCAACCAAGATGGCGCAATAAAATAAACCTGTCACTCCATCTCCCCCATGGCCACCACTACAGGGATAACAATGTTTTTAATTTTGGACTTCCCTCTATTCTGCGGTTGTGTGTAAGGGCTGTGGCAGCAGGCTGGCTGCTTGCCCACTGTGGGTGAAGCCTGAGAGCTTTTCCATAATGAGAGGAGAAGGGAGATAAAGTGTGGGAGTCAACAGCAGCAGTGTGAACTACAATGTTGTGTTACAGTCATCTGATAACTGGACATCCTATCAAACCTGTTCTACAGTAACTGATGTTTTTCTCCCTCCAGTGTGACGCCATACTCTAATGCTTTGGTTGATCTTGTTTTGAACCAGAAAGAGCTTTGTGCCTGCTAGCGTCTGAGGGAGCAGGTACAGAATAAAAAGAGGTGAAGTATGAAAAAGAAAATGAACAGATACATGCAGCGAAATACAGTGAGGCATAAAGACCAAGAGAACTGGCCTTTGAAGCTGCAACACTACCTCTGCATTAGTGATGTATTTTTTGAAAGTCATTCATTAAAAAGATTCTCTTTCACTTTTCAGCATTTACAGCAAGATCATGTGTTAACTTTATGTTTTGCTGTATAAAAAGCTGGTTACATCAGTGACTTCACTGCGTCAGAGCACAGGCTTGATGTGATCTCAGAGAGTTCAACTCCATCTCAAGTTTGCAAAAAAACAACTTCCCTGAGCAACCCAGGAGGCACACCCACAGAGAGGACGTCCATTTTTACTTTGATAGAAATTACTAAGCAGTTCCTGCTAGCAACATGGCTTCTGTCTTACTCTGTCTATGTATTCCAGTTGATGAGGCCCTAACTTGGTGGAGATTGTGCTGTGAGGCTTTACCTCTCTGGGAGTGTTGATGCGATGTTGGTGACCTTGCAAAGTGACCAACTGCTTAGCATCATGTAAGATGTGGCTTATTGTGCCGCAGGGAAGGGGATTACAACAATGAACAGTACTGTTATAAAACCATTTTTCATCACTGGGAGGGTTAAAAGGCGGTGTCGGTGACTCTGGGGCTTTGAAAATGTAAATGTCCATCCAGGGCACATCACTGACTGATTACGAGTATTGATTCATTGCAACAATAGGCCTAAATTAAATGCAAGCAGCCAGCAGTACAAAACAGGAAACAGTTTCCAGGTAATTTCTAATCCTTCCATCCCTCAAGGCAACCATACTGCTGAGTCACTGTCAGTTGTGGTTGCAACGGTTGCTGGTGCTGTGTCATGAAGACTGAGGATACGTGGGTTATCAATAAATGGTACCGCTCCCCTCCAGGCCCTGCTCACAGTACAGCAACACAGCAGCCATTAAAAGAATATTAAAGTGCCAGCATGACAGAGGGCACACCTCACTTATTATGTAACAGTAGGAAATGCGAAAAACTGAGTTACAGTATGTACAGTATGTACTGTGTATGAGCTTGGCAAGGTCACATAATATTAGTTTCAAAATATTGCTTTTTGGTTTCGGGGTTGGGGGGGTATTTCACAGCCTAAACATTTGTGACACATTTTGGAAAAAACAAAACAAAACACACACACACAAAAAAAAAAACTGAATCATATGCGCAACAGTTGAATATGACTGAGCAGTAATTTGAAAAATCAAAATTATTGTTTAATCTTTCATTGTATATCTGGATCATTGTTTGAATCTTTGGTAGATGTTGTTAATCTAAGGTGACTATGGATGTTGTTCCTTCAAGCCTCTGGACATGTGTTTTTGGTACCAAAAAACATTATCGGGATAAAGGGCTAAAGTAACACGGCTCCAGACCTCAGACTTCAATTGCTGCTCCCCTGAATTAAGTCTATATTAAATAAACAATCAGAGCTTTGCTGATAGAATTAAAAATATGGAATATTCCTACTCCAGCAACAGGAAAACAGGTTCATACAGATGTACACGTATTTGCATGTGCACCTATGAAAAGAACGGCTAAACTGCTTTGTGTTAACTGAAAATATGTCAACGGGATGTATACATCATTCGTTTGAGTGCAACGACTCTTCCAAACAGAAAACCTCAACAAGATGCCAGAGTAAATACTGAACTGAAACAAAATGGTGATTTTGTCTTATCAGGATACAGGGCATATGGACGAAGACAAAATATCAAGATTGTTAACACTTTGACAGTATTTGTGTGTAGATGATCTACAAACAAATGTCCAGGTATTAAACAGTTGATGTGAACAAGACAGTTGCCTCCAGGATTTTATGCTCGTATGATCCAGGATCCTGCTTATACAGATAGATTTTATGTACTCAGTGAGCAAGCCATCAGCTCACACCAATGTCTTGGCTATAGTCCCCAGGTTAACATATTGCACATGTCAGTACTGAAAAAAGCAAGACAGTATCTTTAAAGATGATGCACTCACCAGCAGTTGTTAACGTAGAAGCCAGGGAGCACAGGGCAGGGGCCTACTTTTCTGACTGGTTGTTAATCACAGTTATCCGAGATGTTTTTTTGATGTCCTCTGTCAAACAGAATCTCAACTTCATACTCATATCACATTAGAATGGAGAAACCTGCTGTGGCTCTCACAGGATGAACGAATTTCTAACTTGTTTGGTGGAGAACTCCTACGTAGGAAGAGCACAGCACTTGTGCTCAGGGGCAACAGAGGAGGAGTGGAACAGTATCACGAGCTTCTTCATTACTCAAACACACACAGCCAAACCAACGACCAACAATTCATCAGAGGAAGTGTTGCCAAAGCAGTACTTGTGTGTGTGTGAGAGAGAAAAATGCTA